GTATTTATAATGGGATGAATATATAAAATTTGTATGACTCAATAACGTTTAAATGAATGAATTTAATAATGACAATATTTGAATTTGACGTGGGTCAAAATAGTGATTTTTTAAAATTTTAATAAAAAAAAGTTGACATTTCTGGACATTTTGCCGATTAATGAGGGAATCAAAATTGTGTCACGCGTCGTAGCATGAGTGGACAGTTTTAAAATGAAACACACTTTCCCGTCCATTTCAATTTGAAAATCAGTGGAGTGTCAACCATAATGAAACAAAAGAATGCACAAGTGGCTTATTCCAAAATCTAATCTATTCAATATATACTATTAAAATAAATGAACTCTACGTTCCTCCTCAGAAAAAAAAAATTACAAATTTGTTGAAAATGGTTATTATCAAAAGTTGATTGATTTATGAGCATATACATAGAATTGGTTGGGCATTGATTGATTTATTATATTTACTAGGAAAAAAAGTTATGATACTTTCATTATACTACCGCGCATTTATCTGAAAAATCATCTCTCGTGGCTCATCCCACTTTTATGAACCACAAAATAAAAGGTTAGAACAATTTTGCTTTCTTTCAATTATCATATAGATCTTTTTGATCCTTTATACGACAAATTTCTATTTATGGTACGAAACTAACACGTGAATTATTCTAAGTTTAGGGTTTGAAATTTTCAACGATTGAGGTCTACTATTTAGAATGCGTCAATTTTAATATTAAAGAATTAGTATGAAGTTGCTTTGTAAAAAAATATTTTAAACATTTGATTGACAAAGTCAATGAAATTTGATGTGTGGATTATCCCGATATTAGGGTTTGAAATTTTGATCGATTGAGGTCTACTATTCAGAATGCGTTAGTTTCAACAATAAGTGCAAGTTGTGTATGAGATCGTTATAAACCTCTCATTAACAAAGTCACCTAGATCTAACACGAGTATTGTTATGATATATCTTAGAGTTTGGAATTTAGATTGATTGAAATTTATTACTCATGATGCGTTAATATCAGTAACAAAGACTAAGTATTCTTAACAAAGATATAACTTGTGGATTATTCTAGGTTTGAGATTTTTTATCATTCAATTCTACGATTTAAAATGAATTAATTTCAACAATAAAGATTAGGTACGGAATTGTTTAATTTGAAAATTATTTAAAATCTAACATACGGGTTAAAATTCAGAGCTTAGGTTTAAGATTCTGATTGATTGAGGTCTACTATTCAGAATGCATTAATTTCAACGATAAAGATTAATTTTGAAGTGGCTTTGTAAGATATTAATTCAAATTTCATATTAACAAAAGTCAATGAGATGTAACACGTGAACAAGCTCAATTGTGGTCCACTAATAGGAATGCATCAATTTCAATGAAAAAGATTATTTATGAAATTATTACAGTAGTAAGAAAAAGGACAATTGCTAAACCCAGCCTTCAGTGAAAAATAGGGTCCAATTTTGTCTCTAAAGAATTTTGAGTGAACCTAAATGATTTTTGCCAAAAATAGGTTTCATGTTCTCCTTAGGTTCTGGTATTGGAGACCCTATGGATTACACACTTCTTACAAGAATTTACTGGTATCTCTCCTATAGATTTACATTATAAATTACTATTTACTGCCCCCAAGAGAGAGATTACATCATGTCATTCACTTAGTCTTGGAATCACGGTTAATTTTCCGCGTTACTCTATGACCCAAAAAATCGAATAAGTAGCTCATGTCTTACTTGCGTCTTATTTTGTGTAGGACCGCCCTTCACATTTTTAATCAGACAATTGTGTTAGCCATGACTAAACCATTAGCTTATTTACCAAAAAACGCCAAGTGATTTACATTAGCCACATTGTTGAACCCATTTCACTCTCTCCTAAGAAATAGGGTCGGATCGATCCATGGGTGGACAGGGGTGAGCTCAAGCCCATCTAACCCCTCGAAAAAATTTGTAATTGGCCCATTTCATCAAGTTAGTTTGAGGGTCAATTTCAAATTAAAATTCTTGAATGTTAGGAAAAGTTCTTAATACCGTTTTGAATTACTTGTGATGTTATTCGAAACATACCTTTCAATTTATAAAAATACTAAACTAAAAAGTCATAGCGAGATAAAATGGTTGCTTGAAATTAGTTCAATAAATCTTATTCATCGCGATCAAAACTTTTGGCCTATTCTTATGCTATAGTTCTCAATCGTCATGGTTGGTTCTTGATATCTTTTTGAATAACTCGTGACGAACCATGCAACGCATATATTGAAGTGAAAAAACATTATACAATGAACTAGAATAGTTAATCAAAGATAGCTACTAAAATAGATATAATGATTATATTTTGATCGCACTCCAACATTAATTTCAGTAAAAATCTATTTGACTTCAACTGACACTCGTTTTAAAAAAAATTACAAACCCAAGATTGATTAATCCTTGTTTCGCCTCTACGAAAGGAACATGGATATTGAAGAATGTTCTTAGATGGTCAAGCCATATAATAGGTTTTCCATTCCTTCAGTTTTCCATGGCAAGAGTGCAAGTATTTCCATGGACTGTATTTTCTCAAAATCATTTATAGATTTAAAAAAATCTAAATAAAATAACAATATTAGTAGAAAAATATAAATCTTTTGAGCCAAAAGTTGGTGGTTAACTTTTTTGAAGGTTAATTATCTTTATATTCTAAACTCATTGTGTCAATAATAATAATAATAATAATAATTGAGGATCGCAAAGGGCAACTCTCCCCCATCCCCATCGTGTTAGAAATTTTCGATAAACGAGACGGCATGAAAGTATTATCATTTATCATCTGAATTACTCAATTAAGTATTTTTTTCAAAATAGAAAATAAAAGGTTTAATTTCGGATTTCGTTATTGTCCCGATTACCTGACACGTGCTGGATGAGCTAGAGATATTTTACCATTCCTATAAAATAAAATTACAAAATAGATGATTCACCAAATAAAATTTGAAATTCAAAGAAGAAAAATTGTTTCCCAAAGTACTTATCGTAAGTATATAGGCCATATTTTGACATTCTAAAAGAAGAAAATTGTAGAATACATGTCAAAAGGGTTTCGCCCCGATACCCGTTATTGTCGGGTTGTCAGCGCCACCGGAGAGTAAGGAAAAAACCCAAACCCGAATAACGAAAAACAGGTCATTGTTTCCAACGCGCTTCTCCGATCGTGAATACCAAGTGATTGATTTAAAATTAAAAATGTATACTTCACACTCCTTCAGGCGCGTCGAAGTTATTTAATAGTTTCACCAGCAGTAACAGCAGCGTGTCATTGCAGTGAAAAGTGGTCAAAGAAAACGCCGATTGGTCCTCACGCGCACAAAATGAACGGTGGAGATTAGTCTGAATAATCGGACGGCAGAGATGATGTTTAAGGGGGTAGTAGAATTAAATGCAGGTTTGGACATATACCAACTAGAGAGGAGATGGGGCCCAGTTTGAGGAGCCAAGAGACATCGATAAATGTAAAAATAGTCAGCATTGGGTCCCACTCTTGCAATTATGTGTTAATGATATGAGTATCATTGTATGTATGTATATGTGTATATATAGGATGAGAGAGAGAGAGAGAGAGAGAGAGAGTGACAGCTCAGTGCTTTACGTAAAAACTGCCCGTTTTTTCTGCAGAAAATGAGAAGGAATTGACCCCAGAAATCTGAATTGCTTCCTGCTGTTTGTTTCAAATTAGACCATCAAAAATTTTGCCATTTTCCTTTGTAGAAATGACAAAATTTTTGGTTCATGACAACCCGGCCCACGGGCACAGTTCAAACCTTGTTTCTGATTCTGGATTTAGAATTTAATTATTTTATTTTACGAGAGTCGCAGCTTTTTAACCACACATTTTATCATTTTTTTCTTATTTAAATTTACTAAAAAATTAATTTTAAATGCATACAAAGTAATACCTATAAATGTATGTGCGTACTTTAGGGTAAAGTTCGTGCGTTAGGTAAACTAATCGTTGGAGGTTTCTGATGAAAAAGAAAAAAAAAGGTTTCTTTTTTCTTGTTAATAGATACTTGAAGAAGAGGAGAAATAAAGATGAGTGGATCTTTGTGGTTTCTTGAGACATGAGGACATTACAATTTACAATCATGTGATTGTCCATTCTATTAATTCATGCTGTTCTTCTTGTCTTTTTTCATGTGGTCTTCTTGTAATTTCATTGTCAATAATATATGCTTTTGTACGTTTTGATTGTCCAAACATGTGAAATCAATCTCAAGGGGACAAGAATTTTTATTAATCCTTGGCCTCAAAGAAGAGTCAATAAAGATTGTTTTGGGATTGAAGTAATTATAAATCAAATTTGATCTTGAATTGACAAGAATTTGTAGTAATCCTTAGCCTTAAAGAAGAGTCAATAAAGATTGCTTTGGGATTAAAGTGATTATAAATCAAATTTGATCTTGAGTTGACAAGAATTTGCATTAATCCTTAGCCTCGAAGAAGAGTCAATAAATATTGTTCTGAGATTGAAGTAATTGTAAATCAAATTTGTTCAACTAGGGTTTTGCAGAAGTTCACTTTTTACCAACAAAATTTAATTTTCTTGACTATTAACCGCAGTCAAACATGCTCAAAGTCAACAAATATATAAAAAATCTATTTGACATAATTGTTGCTTTTGTTTTAGCTTTCAATAGAACAATTTTTTAAGTAATCGGCCTTCATTTTTATTTGAAAACTAACTTTTATAAGTACTTCCAAAATAAATTTATATTCTAGAATTAAATCATCTTCTTCTAAAAATTCTTATAACTAAAGAAACACTTTTATAAAATTAGTTAAATGAATCCAAAAGCAGCTTTTGAGTCTTAAAGGCTTGTTTTGACTTTTCAAAAACCATACTAAACGGGCCCAAAGTTTTCTTTTTGCCCTAAACGTAAAATTATGTAAACATACACATGAACTGAACAAACATAGTAGGATCTATAAAAGAAATTTCCCTTAATTATATCAACACACCCATTCCCCTCATTATCTTCTTGATACCCAATAAAGCAACAAAAAGTTACATTTGATAGAGAACCTATAAACCAACCTCATGCCTACTATATAGACGAGCACATACCGAAGAGAACTACTAAGTACGTGGGCTCATAAAGATTGCCATATATTAGAGCTCTAGAAGACGAGAGCGAGTTGGATAAATAACAAATGATATGAGATCACCATTAACAAGTTTTTAAGCATAGAATTATTTCCAGAATATACAAAACAAGCACGCAGTAAGTGACAGAAGAAAAACAGAATAAAGAAGCGGTAAATAATCATTTGAAACCTAGGGCAAATGACACCTTAGGCCGGGATTTGTTCTTGCCTAATACTTTCATTTGTTTTGAGCGTTCTTCCTCCTCTTGTTGTTTTTTCCTTCGCATTGCCTCTTCTTTTTGTCTTTGCAGCTCCTCCAGTTCTCTATAGCGTTCCTCCTCCCTTCTTTGCTGTTCTAAAGCTTCTCTTCTTTGAGCTTCTTCCATTTTTCTTCTGTTCTCTTCAAGTAGCCTTTCCAGCTCTTCTTTCTCTCTCCGTGCTTGTTCCTGCACATTTCAGGAATCGAGTAATTTATACTATGAGCACAAGATTCATTGGAAGTAAACACAGCCTCCCAGCAAGATAATATTTCAAGCCCTTTGGGAAAAATTGAAAGTCCCAGTTATGAGATGCCCCTCAACACGGTCCTTTTTCTAGGCGTTCCAGGAATCACTATAACAATTTTCTTTTTAAATTTTAAATAAAGGAATGTAAGTTTCTTAAAACATAACTTTTAAATACAGGCCCATGCAGGCCTGAGCAAAAGGAAGAGGCAGGCTGGACCAGGGACTTGTATTCACATGCAGGGCTGCCTAGGCATTGAGTTGCCAACACATTTCGATACATCCATCCATACAAGTGCATCTTACATAGCGAAATGAGTGGCTCATAAAATTTTAACCAAATGGAGGCACTAAATTAGAGTATGGTAAGCAAGGGAGAAAATCCCTTCTCAAAGCATAGAGCTTCCTTTAGCCAAATATGGACTAGGGCTTCTAGCATGTAACAAGAAGCTATTGCTAGGCACACTTTTGGGGGAAAACAACTCCCTACTTTCTTCTAAGAAACCCATGTCGTTATTACTATCAAATGCCAACAAAAATTAAAAAAATAAGTTTGCCAAGAACAGTTTATGGAGAATGACCAAGAAAACAGTAGAAATTCGTAATAGATACTTGCCTCTCTCCGCCGAGCTTCGACATGAGCAGCTTCCTTTTCTTTTTCAATTTGGGCTGCAACTTCAGCAACAAGTTTCTTCCTACCTTCCTCTAGACGCTTATGTATTTCAAGCTCTATCTCCTCACAATTCAAGCTCTCCTCAACTTGCTTCTGAATTGCTGCTTCTACTCTCTTTGCAGTTTCTTCTTCTATTAATTTTAATTCTGCCTCCTGTTGACGCCTGGAAAAGAGTAAGAATGTTAAATAGGACATAGTTACTGATCCAATGAAGACGACGTAGATAAGGAGAACAGGAGTATAAAACCAGAACAAATTATGTACTGTTTTAAGTAGAATACAGAACAACATTAAGTAAGCAATGCTCAGTCATTATCATTTTTCCTTGGTGCATAACTCAAATGAATGACAAACTAACCTCCAAGGTCGAAAAGGCACTAAACATACATGCTTATGCTTTCAATGCATACCTCTAACGGAATCCTGATCCAAAAAATTCAGTTTTGAAACTGCTGAATAGTAGATTACAATGGGATCATCAATATAACAAGAGCAGAAACTTCCTTCACTTAATCCTGTTGAGAAGAATGTCAAGTGAACTGTTGCAGTTTCCACGTTAATAACTAAGAGTACTTCAGTCCTTTCGTTATAACAGATTTATAACCAAGCAAATGGCATATTGCTGTTAGAATAAAAGAACGTACTTTTAAACATATTGACTTATGCAGTGACAGGCTCCACAATCCTTGTATCCATTTTCGAGAATAGCATTAAAAATAGAATCCATGGTAGATGACAAGTTTCAAAAGCCTTGTGACCAAAGAAAATATAGAAGTTAAATGAAAAAAAGCCGCATGTACTTGGATGGAGTTGGCTATATGGATATCATTCTTCCACTCAGCTCCTTTAGAAGGTTATTTCCAAACTTAAACCAGAGTAGCTGAAATGTTATTTCGTTGACTCAAGTCCATGGGGTTTAATGTGAGCCTTTTCTCTAGGATTAACATTAAAATTCTATCAATTTTACATTATACAAATAAGTCATGATAAAAAAGTAAAACCTGAATCGTAACATTTTTCTTTAGAAAACTAAGTTGAATAAACCACAGCGTGAATTTCGGGATATATAAAAAGCTGTTTAAAAAATGAAAAAGAAATTAGAGAGGCAAGGCAACAGGGCATGCGGTTTGGGATTACAGAGTTTGCAACAAAATGACAGAGAAACAGCTATTTCCTAGAAATTCGTCGTGTTAGGTGAAAAGAATAGTAGAAAAGTATTATTAATTGTAAGATAAATGTAAACATGACACAAACTGAATAAATATTCTTTGAGAAAGATTTCCATTCACTATACAGTCAATCTGGTTGATTACGAAGGATCATTAACGCTAAGGGATACCATCCCCAAGTGAGATGTCAATCCCAATTGTTTAAGATTGGAACTTTTTTTTTGCTTACAGTTTCAATAAATATTGAGGCAGCTTTGGTCAATGGTACGACCAATTTTATTAATTTTCTTCACAAAACCACAAAACAAGAATCCACTAGGAAATCAGCCAGGCCAAAGAGATCAACAAAGACCTGTCTTAAACCTCAAGAAATGACATCTTCAACGTGCTTCAACTATATATTCAGGGGTTTTTTTTATCAAAAAATGTATTTTGAAATAGTATTATAATGGAGAATGTGGTTAAAAAATAAGAAAAACTTTAGAGTTTGCGTATAATATTATTTTATTGAAAAATGTGTGGTTGAAATGATGTCAAATCACTGTTGAAGAGTGTATTTTGATTAAAAAAAAAAAAAAGGGACTCAAACAAGGGCTAAGATCATCCAGCAAATGTCAGTATTTTTCATTTTTTAATCAGCATACTAAGTCAGTATTCACACAAAAGCAAATAACTGGGTAACATAAGCCAATGATTATTCTGGTGCTTACAGAATGTCATCATCCTGATTCCTGCCTAAATGGCAATTAGATAATGTCATAAAAAATCCCATGTCATCACCGGCTGCATACATCTCTTAGCCTTTGCCAAGTGAATATAATAAATCGTTCTGACATAACACGGTAAAACTTTATTTCTATCATCCTTATCTCAAATATTAAGTTATTAGGATATTTTGGATTCAAACTAGATACGGATGAAAAAAAATGAAATGTGAACAAGCACCGCACATGCAAAAATACAAATAAGAAACTAGAAAATGTATCAAGATCGTGAGGCAATAATTATACCTTTTCTTTTCCTCCTCTTTTCTTAATTTTTCGCTTGCATCTTTCATCTCTTTTGACCCAGCACTTGTACTGGGAGATGAACTCGAGGGAGATAATGATGTACTCCTCTTTCGTTGTTTTTTACTCCGCCTTGGCATTGGAGAACGACTTTTACGACGTCTTGGAGTCGGAGAACGACTTTTATGACGTCGTGGAGTTGGAGAACGACTTTTTCGGCGCCGTGAGGACAATGAACGACTTCTCCTTCTGTAGAATACAGTAACACAGTTGAGCTTCAAACGAAAATATTGTCCACTACAATGTTTTGCAATCTCGCTTTGTCCGAACCCACCGTCTAATATTAAGAAAGCACGTACAGTTACCTCATGTATTGCAAAGAATAAACTGTGTCCTCCATCTTTTATCATAAGTAACCGCTAATATCACAATCGAGCAACGAAAGGACACCCATCGGCACCCATCACCTGCTCACTTCCCAGATGAAGGGAAGCTATTTTTTCTTATCTTAATTTCTCAAACAAAGACATTCTCTATCTCATTCATGCTATGTTTTAAGATACATGTTTCAAATTCTATCAGTTTGTAAGGAAAAACTCCCAGCATGATAGAATATCAAGGTGCTGACGGAAAGTGAAAACTCTCATAAGCAGCAACATTGCACTAGGAACACCAAAGTACACAAGCCATACGCATCTGCTAGATCATCTAAAAAATAAAATCAATAAGATGATCAATTATACACAACATTTATAGTAGCTTAGGTCATGATCATCCAGAAAGGCTCTCATGACGTGAAGGCAATCTAAGCAAACGGAAAAACCTAAGCTTTTTCATTGGAGGACATTATACTTTCCAGGACAGCACGATCTATTAGTCTGAATATTCAAGAGCAAAAGATATATGCTCCAACGTTCTTTCAGTCATCAAACACAAACTCAAAAGAAGCCTAATTCAACTACACTCAGGTTTGGCGGAAAAAGAAAAGAAAAAAGAAGCAACTTCACGCTATATTTTCATTCAATACAATTCTGTACACTGATTTGTTTCGTTGCCACCAACACACTTTTTGATGTAATGTTTAAACTTGTTTTTCATACAGTTTATTATCGAATTGGTCATGTAATTTGCACGACTATTAGCTGAATCTTCTTTAAAAAAAATTAAAATAAAATCATAAAACTATTCTGCCTAAAGTACACTTAAATAAGATAGAAACAAGAGTAACTAAAAGGGTATCACCTGCTATAAGTATAAGGGGATCGGCTTCTATCTCTCCTGCTACGGCGGCTATACCTGCTATGCCCCAGCGGCGACGGCGACGGCGATGGCGAATACCTCCTTCGGTAAGACGGGGACCGAGATATTTCCCTAGCCCTACCCATCTCCGATTACTTATCCAATTACACGGACCTGACAAAAAATATCACCTGCAACATCAACCATATCGAGTTTATAAAATAAATTCAAACCAGCGAACTACAACTTTTCTAATATTTTTATTGAATACACATTGAATAAAAATCGGTCAATTCTCGATTAAAATGCTATTAATACCCAGTTCCAAAGACAACATAAGAGATCCGTAGTTGAACTACGACGACCGTGTAAGAGGGAAGCGAAGAGTAAACCCTAAAAAAAAGAGAGAACAGAAAAAAGTGCGACTCTTCGGTATTATTGTACAAAATGTACTTAATTATCATTTTTTTAACAATATAAAAAATATACTTTTCATCCAATTTCACAATTAAAAAATATAAAATGACAAACATATCTTTCGATTTAAATAAATCAAAAACAAAATTTTTGAAAAATTATACACTCAGACTTTTTAAAAATTTGAAAATTAGTCCAAATAAATTATTAAAAATGTGATTAGCACAAAACGTCCTATCTTTCAATTTTATTGTGAAAAAATTCATACTTTTCATTTTTTTTTTTGACAATTTCACCCTTATCATCACATTTTATTATAAAAATCATCATTTTCATCCATTTTTTCAATTAAAAGCTGTAAATTGATGAATATACTCCTATTTATATAAAACAAAAATAAAGAAAAAAAATAACAAATTACAACTATGATCCCAAAAATTTTTAAAAAGTACAAATAAATTTTAAATAAATAATTAAAAACAAAAAATTTTAAAAAAAATCACTTTCTTTTTCAATTATTTATTTGGAATTTAATTGTAATTTTTTCAAAAATTAAAGAGCATAGTTGTAATTTATATTTTATTTTTGTTTTATTTAAATGAGAATATATTTATCAATTTACCATTTTAATTGAAAAAATGGATGAAAATGATGATTTTCGCAACGCAATGTTAAAATAAGGGCGAAAATAAATAAGAAAAAAAGATATGAACGTCTTACACAATAATATTGAAAAGTATAAGTGTTTTGTACTAATTACTCTTTTAAAATTTTATTTGAACTCATTTGCAATTTTTTAAAAAGTTTTTCTTTTCTTTTTCGTTTTATATAAATATGAAGGTATATTTTTCATTTTAAAATTTTTTTAATGAGAAATTCGATGAAATGATTTTTTTGCAATAAAAGGTTAAATAGTAGTGAAAATGCTCAAAAATGAAAGGTAATGATATTTTTGCACAATAACATTAAAAGGTAAAGACGTTCTGTGCTAATTATCATTTATTTTATTATCTAATTTATGGATATTTGATGGGTGGGGAGGTATATCTGTCCTCACACGAGTTTTTGTTAACATACATGACTTGGGTTGTAATGTACCGCGGTTGCTTGTACGAAAAAAATTATATTGTTTAAATTGTAAATTGATAAAAATTAGTGGCAAAAAGTGCCAAAATGTTTTAAAACTTGTATGAATTGTGCTTATAAATAATTTAAAATTATAAATTTATAAAATGAATGATAGATGAATGAATGAGTAGTATTTTTTCGTGAGTTCCTTGAAATATATAAGTATAATTTAAATGTTCACAAATCGTTTATAAACATGACTTAAATCTAAGTTAGTACATTTATAAATAATAAAAAGGAATAGTAAAAATAATACTAATGTGTAATTAGAGATGACAAACGGATCGAGCTGCTCATGAGCTTGATTCGTTCTAACATAACTAACTGGCGGTTCAAGCTCATTTTAAGACAAGCCCTTGGCTGATCCAAACCCCTTATTTTTCTTGAGCTATGCTCATGGGCTGACTTGTTTTTTCTCGTTTTTGATAGTCATGAATGTGTGTTTAAAAAAATATTTGTCTTTAACTGAATTTATAAATTAGATAAAATTATAATGAGATAAATTTAAACCAAGCACTAGTTTTTTTTACTTTTTGGATCAATTTGTATTGACGTCTATAAACCTCTTTTTTATTGAATAATACTATTCAACTTCACCAATACTTAATAGCCGTCTATGTGACAGTAAGTTTACTATCAAATTATCTAATACATAAGAAAATAGTATAATTTTATTGAACAAAGCAACAATAAGTCCTCTTCCACATATATTGAAGCTAAGTACCAATCAAACTGAATAACGATTTTTTATTTTATTTTATTTTTTTTAAATGAGGTATTTCTTCAGCACTGTTATGGGACTACTGATGGACGTGGCTGAGAGGAAATCTGGGAGTTGAACCTTAGAGAGGCACTGTGGACCTTCTCCTCCACTCAAGCTCAACTGCTGAAATATTTGGTCCTGCCTNTTTTGCCCTTTTCCCTTTTCTTCATCTTTTCTTTTATCTTTTTCTTTCTCCATTTTTTCTGCTTCAAGGAAAAGTTGAAGGTTGAACCCCAATCTTGAGGGCCCCCACGACCTCACCCCTGAAGTATCGTGAGAAAGGTAAATTTCGGGATGTGTCCCATCACCCCCCCCCCCCCCCCCCCCCCTCCATTTTGCCCTTTTCCCTTTTCTTCATCTTTTCTTTTATCTTTTTCTTTCTCCATTTTTTCTGCTTCAAGGAAAAGTTGAAGGTTGAACCCCAATCTTGAGGGCCCCCACGACCTCACCCCTGAAGTATCGTGAGAAAGGTAAATTTCGGGATGTGTCCCATCAGATCAGGGAACAAGAACTTACCCGTACACGGTGCCCACAATGAGTCCAATTCCATATCTCAAAAATCGAATCCTCACACTGTGGCTGCCAGTAAGATTGAGACTACCACACTCCCGTCTTTTGCATCACTAGATTATGCTTCGAGGGGCGGCTTTAAGGAAAAGTTGCTTCGTGGAGAAGAGGCTCGAGCCTTTTGTCTTAGCATATTCTCTATATCATAGATGCCACGCGGATGACCAATTTATTTAAAATTTGATTATTTTTCTAATGACAATTAATATTAGGGTGGGTATATCATCAGTTTGTTACACCATATTTTTAAAAAATCTTATTAAGGTAATTATAATCACATCATAATTTTTATTTCCTACACCACATTTTAATTGTACTTAAGGCTCTTAATCTTTACTCATTATAATATTTATGTTCCTAACGATTTTCAAGTCCCCGTTTAGCCCCCATTTTGTGGAGATGAAAAAGGTGAAACGATGTTTTTTTTTTTTTTTTGAAAATGAGTAGTTGAAAAAGAAAGAAAGTTTTCAATTTACGTGTAATATTATTTTATGAAAGACTGCGTAGTTAAAAATAAAACAGAGAAAAATAAAATGTAATAGAATAAAAATTAACTATCCTCCTCTCATTTTTTATTAATTAACATATTTTGTATTTAATAATAAATTTATGTTCAAAAATTTGTTTAAACAGTGTAAAATAACGCATTTTCCATTATAATTTAAAAGATATAGAAGAAAAGAGTGAAAAATATCTTTCTTTCATTTCAAAACAAGAAAACGTAATTTTTTGACATAAATCATCATCAAGGATGTTACGTACTATTTAATATATGCTCCGTTTGATTATCATTTTTTTCAAAATGCATTTTTTTTTAACCATGCATTCTTTATTAAAATAATATTTCACGTATATCAAAAAAAATTCCTTATCTTTCATCCACACATTCTCCATCAATCTACTATTTTAAAATTCATTTTTTCATAAAAATGGGTGAGAAAAAAAACCCTCATAATATTGAAGATAAGAATTTGATTGAAAAAAAATTAAGGAATTAATTGCTATAATGAACAAAGATTGAAGAATTTAATAGCAATTAAAATTTGGTGTATGGAATAAAAATTGTGGTAGCAATATAATCACCCTTTTATTATTTACTAATACGACCATAAATAATGTGACATAAAAACCATCCAATTATACATACGTGTATCACTGTACCCTTTTCCACTATTTTAATTTTACTTAAAGAAAAAACTCACTTTATCAAATCAAGCCTTCGGGTCTATATATCTGCTGGCACGATAGAACATTGCAAAATTCAGCATGCAACATTATCCATCTCTATCGGAACCACATAATTAAGCCCCCAGAAATCAACCAAATTCTCGTCACATTACAAGTGACCACCATCCTCGAATTTACGTAATTTAATAAATAAATCCACAAGTGTTATGATCATACAGCAGCAAACATGACTTTGATATCAGAGTTGGCATGCCAACTGAAGAAAACAACCTGGGCTTAACACAATCACCCCAATAAAACATGGCAAGATTGTAACTGCACCTGGGCCTAAAGCAACCCATACTTACAGAAATGCGTCCTTTTCAAGCAGCGTTAGTACCTCAGTTTGATTATTTAATTTGGCCACATCAATAGGTGTCTTGCCATCCAAATTCTGGAGTGTGCTGAAAACCCCAACAAGCAGAGAAGAGACTAATTAAGCACGAGGCAGCTCCAAAGCAGAACAAACATTTAGGTCAGATGGAAGATGACTTACACAGCAGCGCCATTCTTCAATAGAAGTTCCACGCATTCCTTCTTGCCATAACCAGCAGCATAATGGAGAGGAGTGTTCTTATTCTTATCCAAAGCATCCACCTTAGCCCCGGCCTCCAAAAGAACTTGAGAACACTTGACCTGGAATGGAAGTACGGGATGAGTGCAATCATTCAGACTTCAGATAATCTATCCATTAGAAATTTGAAAAATAACGGATACAAGGAAAAAAGGGGGAGAGAGAAATATGGTGGAACAGGACAAAAAACTGTAAGACAACAATAATGACAATAACTTATTGTCAAAGAAAAATGGAAGTCCAGATGTCGGAGAAGGTAGCATGTCAAAAATCAGTGGCATGTGATGATGTGCAACCCATTTCTCTCTATGGAATTTTAAAAACTGAAAGAAGCCTGTGAAATGGCTGAAAGGTCAAGTGCTAATACAATATAGATAGTATAGCATGTCAAGTATTTTGATTGAACCGTGATGCCAAAATGACAAAAGAAAGGTCAGCATGGTAATATATATACCTCTCCATATCCACATGCCAAATGCAGGGCTGTCCTTCCCTCGGAATCTTCTTCATCTTTATCAGCTCCATCAGCTAGCGCATTCTTCAAACCCTAGATATTTCATGAAAAATTATGTTAAATTCACTGCAAAGCTACCAGGAAAACTAAGAGTAAAATTATTAAAATATTAATAAACAGAGAAGCTTAGTAGTTCACTAATTGGATTGAACGACTTCAAGGACTGAGGTTTACTTACAAAGATAAAAACAAGAGGAAAAAAAGGGGGAAAAAATTTAATGCATCCAGTGCTTGCTATTTAATTTTTA